GCATATTTTCATTTTCCCATCTTGTTCTAAGATCTGGATTTTTTAGGTTAAGTCTTCAATAATTAAGGGGATTTAGAGAATCTTGGTCATGAGTCCCTTAGTGGAGGATGTAGCTCATGCATCATAGTATGAGTATAAGCATGAGTACAATGTAGTTATAAAATGTAAGACCATGTACAAGATTTTGTGTTGGAGATAAATGTGTCTTGCCCCTGTTCATATGTATTGTACAAGCAGCTCATGAAGTCAAAATAAGTCAGCTGTCTGCATCAAATTATAAAGTGTTTTATTGTCTGGTAATTCGGATGTGCGGAAACAATTCATGTCCAGATAAGTTGTTAATGTGCCCGCAATCAAAGTCCTCCCTATTCACACAGTAACCCGAAACCACCTGAAACGCTAGTCACATGACTAGGCTGGCATCACAATGTCACGCGTAAAAATAAGGAAGTGGAGCACCATGTCTGAAGTCGCAGCAGCCCATGGCAAACATGAAAACAGTCTTTTTGTGGACCAACAACGAGGTTCAGTTGTTACAGAACGTAACACTGGATTTTAAGACGTTTGTCTATGGTTTGTTTAAACGCAATAGCGTCACATGACTGATGTCACGAACCCAGCGAATCAAATGTATCACCCTCAGCGTATCAACATTTTCAGGCATCCACACAGTGTCGGATCGGATGAATTCGCAGGAGCTGGCCGCACCAGATTTTTCCATCTCTGGAGATGTTTTCCATCAGATTAGTGTGGACGAACACTACATCTGCAATGAAAACGACTCGAATACATGTGAATGGGGCGTAAGAGTTGTGATAAGCTCTTAGAAACTCAACATGGAGAATAAGTGAGGAATAGGAATAACTTTGGACCACCGCAAACTCTTGAATGTCAGTTTTCAGGACAGTAAAAATCAGGTACAGTACCTTTAAACATCATTTTGGTCAGTAATCATTTATTGCGCCTTTCCATTGAAACTCGAATATTATATGTTTGTACTCAGTGTACGATTAGAACTCATTAGAGTTCACCTTTTCTTGAAATACTTATATTGAATTAAAATACATAAATTCATTAATGAGTTATCATAGTCAGGTAGTTTTTTTCTGTTGCACACAGGTTTATAGATTACAGTTACACTTCAATAATTGTGATTGAAAGTGTTTGGGTAATTATTCTGTATATTCTGTTAAGTAAACCTTTTTTACTCACAAAATGTTTGTTTAAAACCAGGGCATCAATAAGAAGACAGAAAATAAGACTAAATGTCTGTTAAGTCAGAAGTTGAAAGGTAGGCTTTTGTGTTAACAGCGCTGTCGGGTGAACTTAAGCGGCCCAGACAGCTGACTACGTGGTTTGCTACAGGTTTTGACATTTTCTCTTTGAGACTTGAAGGTATTGTATTGCTCTTGTGACAACGAGAGCTTTCATGTTTTCGTCTAACTTGGGAGATTCCTGTAAGTCACTTTTCATAGCTGCTTATTTTTCAAGGTAGTGCCAAACAAAGCCTTTCTGATGGCCTGAAATTGAATGAGTGTGTGGAACCGCCATGTGTCTGAAGAGACAGAGAGATTCTATCAGTTCTAAATGGAGCGACTGTTCAGTGCTGATAAAACAAAGAACAGGTCTATTCAGCTTACAGGCAGGTTAGAGCAGTTTAGCATCAGCTCCAAATGTAAGGACGGTGAAGTGTCTTGTTTTCAGACACAGTATTAGCCTCCCACCTTCAGGTTAGTGGTTTACAGTGGCTGCCATCTACTGTCCTTTTCATTGTGATATATAATGAATCTATTAACTGTTGTTCTGCCCATACTGTGTGCTTTGCATATGTATATCAAAGTCTATTTTATTTACCTTAATTTATGCATTTATTAAAATTTTTCATAGTTTATATTGACAGTGGCAATAAAACTCATTCTAACTGCAAGTGTTTTTTACAGGGGGTCAGTAAATTAATTTATTCCAGTAATAAGTAAAACTTTGTGTTCATACCAAACAATAGTCACAAGAAAAGCAAAAAAATTAAAATCACTTGACATGGTCTTAGATTAAGATTATTTTTATTCTTCTTTTTAGAAAGGAAACTTGCTTTAACAAGGTTAAGAACTTCTTAAATCATTTGTGCAAAATTATTTGAAAGAGTAAGAGGTTTGTTTAGTAATTTATGTTTTTAAAAAATGGTGACGGCTAGTTAAAATAACAAGAATGAAAAATTCTACAAAAAAACCCCACACAATTTCATGTCTTGCTTGGAAAGTACTTGTCTCCTCTTTGTCTGGTGGAAGCTGTTGCATTTGCTGTTATTTTCAACAGCTGAAGATTTGAGTTCTTTTTGTCAAAAAAGTACAATGTGTCTGTTTACTGTGTTTTGCATTAGTGTTAGGGAACTGACAGATTTTTTTGCTAAACTTCAAATGCCACTGGAGACAAAACGTGCTTTACCTTGATTTAAATACTGCTTTATTTATGGACTAGAATTCATTGACAAATGGACTGGCACTCTCGTTCCTCACCAAAGCCATAAAACTCAAACTATTTTCTTGCTCAAAAGACTAGCCCAAAACAGCTTTGTCTTTGTTGTTAAATATATTTTCAATTTTTCAATGTTTGGCATTTCATTTAACTCAAAAAACATTGTAAAACAAATTCCCAGAGAATTTCCAGTACATTAATAAAAAGACCCATTCCGACTCTGGACTCAATTTGTCAAAAACATTTTTCCAATCATGAATTAGCCCCTTAATAATAATACTGATGTGATGAGTGTTTTCTAGTGGTGTTAAACTGTTCATTTCCAGCATGCAAATCAGGGGCAGTTGAATTTGCCAAGTGGTGCGTGGGGTATGAGAGCCGTGTCACTGGGAGTCGATGCCTTTTGTGGAACATAAGTCCCATTTATCCTAAATTAGGACGGGCGCGGCACTGGTTGCCTTTGATGTTCCTGTCGGCGGGACATGGCGTGGGGGTGCGTGGGGAGGGAGGGGGCACTAACAGATGTTCCAGGCTGATGCTTTGAGGTGCTGATGAAACGTTACCACACTGAGAAGCTCCGCATGCCACTGTCACCGGGCCTGACAGGAGACAAGGGCAGAGAGCAGCAGTCTCCAAGAAGTACAAGATTTGCATTTGACTTTGACGACGATGGCTTTGATAAACACTGAGGGCACTTCATGCACAGAAAGCCTCACTGAGTAACTTGGATTGTTCTTTTCATGATTTTACTTAATTTTCTTTGTGGAGGGCCCGTTATATAATATCCGTATTTGCTTCTTTGCACAAATTTGTCTGTGCATATTCATATATTATCATCGCTAGCCTGTTGCTTGGCTAACTGGGATGTGTTTTGCAAGACACTTCAGACTTTGTGAGTTTAGCGAGTATGTTTATTTGCCCAGTATGAAAGTGGTGTGTGCATGAGTGAATGGTGGTGGTCGGAGAGGGCAGCAGTGCACATGGACAGCCTCATTTCTGTCATTGTGATAATCGCCACCAAAGATTATCACCATAAATCACCACAATGTGCTGAAAAAAGATCCATCATGTTTTCTTCTAGATTACTGTTGCTTTTTTTTAATTTTCTCTAACAAACTACAACACTGTAACAGTTGTATGGGACCTATTGACCTTTTCATAATATTCAAATTATCATTATTCATATCTGTAACATTTTTAAACTGTCTGCAACTTTCATAATTATCGTGATACAATCGTTAATCATAATTATTTTCTCCATGATAATCATGACACCAAATGTATATATCGTCCCATGCCGAACCAGGGCAGCTGTGACAAGCTTGTAAGGCCCATTACAAGTGTAAGGGATTATTATTAGTATTATTATTATTTGTCCACATACAACAGGGAACATGCACAGTGCTTTATTCATTACCACAACACATTTATGTGTTAGGACCATAGCCTGTATGAACAAGTGGACTAAAGGAGTGTGATGTCACCGAAATTGTCTAGCTCCAGTCAAATGAAGCTCATATAGACAGCAGTTATTGGAGCGAATTTGGATCCAAATTCTATGTAGGAACAGGAATTTATTAACAGACAAAATAGTGAAATAAAAATACCAGGATCATGTAAAGTGGGTCAATATGAACATTTTAAAAGGACAGTTAGAAATTTTGGACATAGCGCTTCATTTCCTAGTGAGCGTTAGAGACGTGTGGACACACTTTTAAAAAAAATATTCCATCCAGTACTTGTATTTGCAAAGGTTGCTGGTGCTAGGCTAGTGCATGTCAATGGCCATAGTTAGCATGCTGCTAGACATAGTCTTACCTACAAAGCACCTGTAGTAAATCTATCATAATGCCAGACTATCGATGTAAATGTCTGTGTTGATAGAATAACGTTTGAAATAAAACTGACCTTGCATCAAATGAATCGTCACATGTTGAGGGACTCACTGCTGCTCAGACATAAATCCTTCAAATGCAAGGTTGGTTTTACTTCTAAAATTATTCTATCGACACAGACATTCACATTGATAGTCTGGCGTAATAACAGATTTGCTTTGGGTGCTTTGTGGAGTGGGTAAGACTGTTTTTAGTGGCAAGGATAACTATGGCCATTGACATGCACTAGCCTAACACCAACGATCTCTGCAAATACAAGGACTGGATGGAATATTTATAAAAGTGTCTCCACACGTCTCCAACACTCTGGCTAACTACAAGATGAGGCCCTTTGTCCAAAATTCTGAACTGTCCCTTTAAGACCAAAATGAGGTGACAATTTTTTTTTATGTGAAGTAAATTGAAGCGTATCTGGAAGTGCCCTTACATACAATGCAATGCAAACCTGATGACCAACACAGTATCACAGGTTATGAATTTTTTGTCTTTATAGTAATTAGCATGTGTGCTTTGGTTTAAGTCCTTCTGGGATTTCCACTGTGACCACATGGTGACTTGACTTGTGCCTGATGTGGCATCCGTTCAGCAAAGGAAACAGTGGGTGAAATAACATGTGCTTGTCTTGTGTTACAGGAGTATGATGATGGCTATGGCACATCGTATGACGAACAAGGATATGAATCATATGACAACAACTACAGTAATCAAGGACAGAAGTAAGTGCAAATGACATTATGTACTTGACTTTTCTATTTTAATGGCATCTACAGTGTTGCACAGATGCTTCGAGGGCTGATGTGTAAATGAGGCTTCTTCTTACATTGTGCTTGATAGCTCATGTCCTATACAATACTGCCTTTGGGCCAGTTATATATCTATTTTTGATAAGCTAACTTTCTTAATGGTTCAAAAAGTGCATTCATAATTATTGCTGAAATGTTTTCTTGTGAGTAACTTTTGCGAGAGCCTGAGTTCAGATGGAGGTTGTGAAGGCGTTTGGTGCATGAACAGCTGGGATATGTTGCATGAGCCGTTAACACTCATTAATGCTCATTTTCTGCACTGTTTGAAACTCTAAAGAACACTTCCTCCTAATGAAGTAATTCCTCGTCGAGTGTGAAATGTTTTAATTGACCTTTGAAATGTCCTAAAACTTAATCAGAGATGAATCTTTGCAAGAAAATGTGATTTTTAAGGAATCAATCTTAATAGATGTAATCACTTATTTAATAATTTAATTAACTTTTGCAGAAAGTTTAAAGTAAAAGTGTAGTTCAGTTTCATAATTTAAGTTGTGTCGGTGTATGGATAGGAGTTTTTTTTTGTTTTTTTTTCGCAAATAATGTTATATACCCCCACATATACACGAATAGAAGCGTAATGCACAGCTTACCTTGATTAGTGAAACTAATATAATATAAATATGTCGTCTTAATTACTTATTTGATTTTGGAAAAGGGTAATCAGAAATAAATTATAATTATTCACTTAAATATGTATTTTATTCATCAAAAAAATATATCTTTCCCTTCTGCAATCACAAGGTGTGGGAGAAAGATGTAGGCGATGAATAAATCATAAAAATAGCTAAAAAGAAATGGATTGCGACAAAGGTCAACTTGCAATTTCACATTCACATTTCACTTCCTATAAACATGTTTCAGAACTTTATTGTGGTGTGGGGGTCAAGTAGCCTCAAAACCTGTATACATTACTTATAAATTGCATGTGGCTAGGGAAAGATATTCTGGATGTCTGTACATTAAGAAGTCAATAAAACTATCCACAGTTTGGTTGGTAAACAAGATCCAAAGCTAGACTCCTGCAAGGGGATGTGATATAGCTTCAATAATGCATGGAGTTTTGTTCTGCATATTTTGACAAGAAAAATGACTGACCAACCACTGTCTCCAAACCAACAATCTTCTTCACTATTTCTTTTATCCAGTTTTTGATTGTATGTCTACTCAAATACATTCTCAGGTCATTTCATCTGCACTCTCCACACAAACATATAGCTGCAGATTTTTGACTCATCCTCCATTCTTTTTACAAAACAAGCTTGCTGTGTTTCTCGGCATGAGGTGTGAAGGTGTGATGTAGCCTAGAAAAAGTGTGGAGAGATAGCAGCAAAGATGGATGAGACCTGGCTGACATACATCCTGACAAAAGAAAACATAAACCACCCGGTCGACAAAAGCCAGCCTTAGTCCCTGTGCTATTCCATATGAAACGTCATCACAATCTTTCTTTTTCTTTTGAAGTGGCCTGGACACTCATCCATAAACGCCACTCATTGTGCAGAAAATGAAATATAGTGGGACAAACTGGAGCAAAAGCCTTTTGACCTTGTGTGGCTTGGAGAGCGCGATAGCTCCCTGGATATAAGGAAATCAATACTCTGCATTTAGCCGCGCAGGAGCTTCTGGTCAATGGAGCAACACCGCACCAACGTGCTGTTTTTGCATTGACATGAAAAAGGCATTGACCCAATAGCACCTTTAACAACACCAGCTGAAAGGTCAAATAAATATGATAACTGCAAGAGCAGGATTTAAGTTGTGAAAAAAAAGATAAGTTATATGTGTCTATAGCTACACCGCTGTTAAGTGGACATACATAATAGTTCCAGTCCAACTGTAGGAGACACCTTGTACATGTTGTAAACCTCTTAAAAAATCTGAACATCTCCTGCAGATTCTACACAATGGGATTCTATTCTAAGGGTTTCATCATTTCTCTCTCCTATATTTGTTAAGGTAGAAACACACTAGATGGTTGGCTAAAATGCTTCATTGTGATACGTATTCTCAAAACCAAGGTTTACCTTGGAAAAGTGTTTTTTTCTGTCTAGTCTTAGGAATGGCACACTCAGTTTTTGCCTATGTGAGTGAATAAAGTTGAGCACAGAAGGACAGGTTGGTCATTCTCAGCAGCACACCACATACCTACACAGAGTTATTCATTTTATTTGTCTATATGGTCAGGACAAGTGCATATTAATGGACATACATTAGCTACATCCACATGAAAATTAGCCTGCATGGCTAACTCTGGCACATTTACATGCTTTACTAACAAATGTTGATTCATGTGCACTGTCCCGTACACATAGACATGACCACACTGGATTGGACTCTGGGGGGAAGGGTCCATTGACAGAACAAATAATCACAGGCAGGACCTGCAATTGACCCTCCACTCTGGAACTATGTGGCCAGTACACTTCATTTAAAATGAACATAAAGAAATAAAGATATTTTACTCTGCTAATACATTTGAAAAACAAACTTACAGACAAATCAAAAGAGAAGCAAAGTACTGTTTGCTCTGCACTCTTGTTTTTCACATTGCCAATGTTTTATTTTTGTCAATGTCACACTCATCAAAAAGCATGCCACTGATCTCATCTTATTTTTACATCACACCCCCTTACTCCAGTCAAGCCTTACGTTTGCACAACTATGTCAGATCTTGCATAGTTCTTGCGGCTATTTGTTTCCAACTTGAATCCTGATGAAGGCGCCTGGGCAAAGGTAGGGAGCGTCAAGAGGCTGAAGAGAAATGGAGTCCGGGATAGAGGGACTAGAGGGTGGGCCGCTCAAAGAGATTTTCATGTGTGTTATCTGGCAGGAGACGGAGCAGCTAATAGGGCCCAGACTTCCAAGAGAGTGCGCCCCCGGAGACAACTGATTCACTTACTGCTGCGCGTCTCGTGTCCTGTTTTTAGCTTGAAAAGTGACTGCCTGTACACAGCGTTGGCGGCCGGGGTAACATGGAGGCTAGATTGATGCAAGGCTGTGTATGGCATGTGACATGAGAATATGAGAATCATTTGTTTGATGTCGAGGCTCCAGTGATTTGCAGATGTCATGGGAAATCCGCATGCCTTCTTCGAGCCAGGTGCAGTGACTGGTGACAGATGTGGCAAAGGTTACGTCACAAGTGTTTACAGAATGGCAGTTTCCAGACCTGAATGTATTTTTGAAAATATTTGTCAAATACTCCTTCCAATCCTTGCTGTCACTGCTGGCCTGTATCACAATTTTATAGAGTAATAGTTTTCACTTGTCAGTCTCCCCTCACATTTGCACAGCCAGATTTTTTGTTAAAGATTCAGTCATTTTCCATTCCTCATCCAACCCCAAAAGTTATTTTTACTTTGCAGAATCCATTTCAATCAAAAAAGACTGAAGCACCTCAAGCAGATGCATCAGTAAACATTGACAAATCAATTCTCGAATATTGCAAAGCGCAAGTCTCAGGCGAACTATGCCCTACTGTACTGCTTTTCTTCACTTACTGAGATCCAGTCAAAACTAATGGGACAGCACAGTAGTTAGCACTCTGACATCACAGAAGATCTTGTTTTATTATTTTCTAACTGTACACAGACAATCTGTGCAGATTTGTATGTTCATCTTGGCTGCTCTGCTTTCACCAATCACTAAAACATGTGGGTTCATGCTAGGTCATTGTGGTTGAACTTGAACACATAGTTGCAACTCTCCAGACCATCTACACATTTAAAAAATATGCTCTTATTACTAGTCTCATTAAAAGCCATGTCTAATTTGAGTTGTAATGTATAGTTCAATTTAATAGTGATTCATAGTGAGTGTGATAAAGGCAGTGTGTGAGGGCATTAAAGGTTTGCTGAAGAGGATGAGGTGGCTGATGGTTCCACTGCTTCAGTTTGCAAGATATACCTAGAACAGCTTGAGAGGTGATTGATGGCTGTGACTGAAGGAAGTAGCAATGACTGTTGTGATAAAAAAAAAAAAAAAACATTGAAATTTTAAATGACCCCTATGTAAACATAAGCACAATAATGACAGTTATGACAATTCAGTGCAGCCCACAAACAGTAACAGTTTTAGCAGCAGTATAATGGCCATATCAGCATTAAACTGCATAACAGGGACATACAGTCAGATATGTGGAGTGTTAATGTTATTATGCAACAATGCAATTATTTATTGGTGGATGTGGTTTTTGTCCATGGGATAGGGCTAAAGAGGGGAGGGGGGCCCTTTTCAGCAACCTCACAGCCTGAGGACACTTAAAATAAGGTTATGGTTCTGATACATTATACTGTACCCATAGGGAAATTTGCCCTCTGCAGGCACCTCGTCAGGAGCAGTGGGCGGCACAGTACTGCACCTGGGGACCCATCGCTAGATGTTGTTGCTAAGCTTGGTCAAAACTACCTTCACTGGAGGATTGTGCATGTTTTGGGTTGAAAAATACAGAAATAGCTATATATTGTGATATAAAATTTGGTGATACAGTATCGTGTGGGGTTCTATATCAATATCAACAAGAATTGTTATCTTTTTTTGTATTATTTTCTGAAAGTGCTATAATTTTGTTGCTTGTTAGAGAAAGGAAACTTGTTCATGCAGTGGTAATAGGTGTGTTCATTGTTTTGATGATGTTTGGAAATTGGTGTGTTTCATATCACATTTATGTAGGTAGTGGCACAATATATCGATTATCACATGCATCACCATATCGTGATATTATCTTATCATGAGCCATGTGTTGTGTATTTGTGAGGGACCCCAACCCCATTATACATAGTACATTAAAAAACAATGTAGAGACTACAAAAACAGAATATGCTATCCCTTTCTGTAGAGAAGAATTAGAAACAATAATCTAATGCTCTAACAGTACTTTCTTTATCCACTTCCAGTAATTGTGGACCTCTAGC